TATCTTTTGATAGCCGGGCACCATCAGCTTTCTTCACCACATTTGCTTATTCATCCGCTTTGTCTTCAGCGGTTGTGTCGGGAAGGTGAGCATCATGGGATGCCAGTTTAATAGAACAAAGTACTCTTGCATTGAGGGAGTACTTGAGTGAAGGCACTGGTTTGGTTTTTGGGGGATGGGGTGGCTAGGAGATGGAGCTTCTCTCCTGCCTTTGATCTGAACTGTGTAACCTTGGCAGGGCACTTCCTCTGCGTCCTGAGTTTGCTGTACAGCAGCGGTTCTCAACCTGTGGGTCTCAACCCTTTTGGGGTTGCCTAAGACCATCAGAAAATACATAAGTATTTCGCAATGTATAATTAATATGGTTTTGTGATTCATCACTATGCTTTAATGATGTTTAATTTGTGTAACAATGAAAATACATGCTGCATATCAGATCTTTACATGATGATTCTTAACAGTACGAAATGACAGCAATGAAGTAGCAACGAAAATAATGGTATGGTTGGGGGTCCCCACCCCATCAGGAACGGTATGCAAGGGTCGCGGCATGAGGAAGGTTGGGAACCACGGCTGTATGGTCTCAAGTCAGCAAAGCTCAGTGGGCCCAGTGCGGCCTGTGTCTGCGGGCATGGGGGCAGGAGGCGAGGGGGAGTCCCTCATGTCGGATGCCACCTCCTCCTCCTGCACCTGAACCCACTCCCAAACCCCTCCCAGTGCTGCTCCCTTGGGCGACATTCCCTCAGAGTCCGGATGTCATTTCAGCCCCCTTCCTTCTGCAAGGTCAGCAGTTCGAACACACACGCTGCTCCTCCAGAGGAAAGACGGGGCTGTCTACTCCCGTAAAGGGTTGTAACCTCGGAAACCCCCAGGGGCAATTCTACCCCGTCCTTCCGGGCCGCTGTGAGTCGGATCGACTGGATGGTGGTGAGGTTTCCTTCCTTCCAAAACCGCACACAGAAGCACCGGCCAGGTCCCTTCATGCCCCTGCGCTGCCAGGCCTTCTTCAGCCTCACCCTCCTAACCAAGCCACTCAGCACCCAGCAGTCTCCCGGCTTCCTCCTCCCATCAGCCCTCCCCTCCATCCCAGTCTACCCCCACCCCCCCCCATCCCCAGCACGGCTCTGCCATCTCAGACCAGGTCACTGGGCAGATGGTCCTGGGGGCTCTTGCCATTCCAGACCCACCTCCCATCTTCTTCAGGGACCCCTGAGGCTGAGCTGCCAGATACCCCCTCCCCAGGCTGTGCCTCTGCTCCCCTTGGAGTTGGGGTACCCTCTGACCCCCACCCTCAGGCACTACTGACAGGGACGACACCCCAGGCCTTGGACTTGCTAGGTAAGGACTTCAAGAAACTGGGGTCAGTAAGAGATTAATTAATCAGAACCTGCGCACATCTGTTGTTAACGTTGGTCATGCCTCTCTGGCCTCCCCTGCCCGATGCTGGGAAGACAGGGTGATGGAGTTAGGGGTGGGGTGGGGTGGGGAGGGGGGCCCTTTCTAGGTTCCTTCCCTCACTGGGAAGCCTGGATGGGCGAGAGGACCCCGGAGGGCAAGGCAGGTTCCTGGAGTCGGAAAAGCAGAAGGAACCCCAGAAGTTGGAGGGACCTCACGGGGCGGGGTGTGTGTGTGTGTGTGTGCTCTTTTGAAGCAGTGGTTTGCAGAGATTACTCACAGACATCCGAGATGGACAAACGGCTTTATTTACAGAAACAAATAGAACAGACCCTCCCTCCCTCTTTTCTCCCCTTCCGGTCCTCCCCACACCTTCTCCTTGGCCACGCACCCCAGGGCGGCCCAGCCCTGCCCTGGCAGATCAGGTTCGTGTGTGGGTGGGGCCCCCACTCGGGAAGGGGGCGGAGGGGCCTGCTGAGGGGGGG